GCCAGTCGCAATGCTTAAGTCCGTCCGGATTATCCTAGCGATTGCTGCATATTACGATTATGAAATATGGAAAATGGATGTCAAAACCGCCTTCCTTAATGGGATTTTGGAAGAAACTGTGTATATGACACAGCCGGAAGGTTTTGATGATCCAAGCAATGCTGGGAAGGTATGCAAGCTTAAGAAGTCCATTTATGGACTAAAGCAGGCAAGCAGAAGTTGGAATCTGCGATTCGATGAAGCCATTAGTAAGTTTGGTTTTATCAAGAATCCAGATGAGTCTAGTGTTTACAAGAAGGTCAGTGGGAGTGACATCACATTCCTAGTCTTATATGTCGATGACATATTACTCATTGGAAACAACACTAAACTGTTAGAGTCCGTAAAGGGCTGGCTTGGTAAGTGCTTTTCAATGAAAGACTTGGGAGAGGCACGGTACATATTAGGCATCAAGATCTATAGAGATAGATCTAAAAGGATGATTGGATTAAGCTAAATTACTTATATTGATAAAGTACTGGCTCGATTCAACATGGAAGGGGCCAAGAAAGGGCACCTACCCATGTTACATGGCATAACTCTCAACAAGAAGCAATGTCCACAGACACCTGATGAGCGAGAGAGGATGAACCAGATTCCATATGCTTCACTTATTAGATCGATCATGTATGCCATGATATGTACTAGGCTGGATGTATCGTATGCCTTGAGTGCTACGAGCCGATACCAATCAGACCCAGGAGATGCGCATTGGACTGCTACCAAGAATATCCTAAAGTACCTAAAAAGAAACAAGGATAAGTTCCTGGTCTATGGTGGTAGTAATGATTTGGTTGTTTAAGGTTATACTGACGCGAGCTTCCAGACTGACAGAGACAACTCCAAGTTGCAGTCAGGGTACATATTCTGCCTAAATGGAGGAGCGTTTAGTTGGAAGAGTGTTAAGAAAAGCACCACTGCAGATTCTACAACTGAAGCCGTATACTTGGCAGCTTCGGAAGCAGCTAAGGAGGCAGTTTGGATTCGTAAGTTCATTAGTGAACTTGGTGTTTTACCCTCCATCAAGGGCCCGATAGACCTCTATTGTGATAACAATGGAGCTATTGCTCAGTCCAGGGAGCCAAGGGAACACCAGAAGGTCAAACATGTCAAGCGGCGATTTCACATGATAAGGGAATGGAAGTCCGAGGGTGAAATCAGAATTTGTAATGGAACGGACGACAATGTAGCCGATCCATTGACTAAACCTTTGCCTCAAGTGAAGCACAACAAGCACGTTGAGGCAATGGGAATCAAGCATGTTGGAGATTGGCTTTGATTTCCCTGTATATGTGTTTTAATTAAACTTGATGTCTTAATGTAAAACACTATGTTGAACCATTCAGTTTTCGAGCAATTAAATTTTCTGTAAATTTATCCTCCATTTCTATTTATTTGTGGTTTAGAATTAAATAATGAGTCCATTCGATTCTTGAGAATATTCAAAACAGGGTATCAAGACCATGTCTTGGATAAAGAAACACCTGTTAAGTGAACATTGAATATTTCAATCAAAAATTATCCCTAATCAAGGTCATTTAAACGATGGACGATTAATGACCACTTGAGATTAGTGTGTAGTATGATTTATAGCACCGTTTCTTGTGCTACGAGGACATGATTGTCATAAATCATTTGCACAAGTACTAGTTTGGAACTGTACCGGATTGACCTATGAGAGTACTTTAAGAGATTAAAAAACCGTCATAAGTACATTTCTCATTATAGCTATCAGAACCTTTTTCCTCGACCATGAGTATTGTAAGTTCTCTTATTTGAGTACTAGTCGTTTTGATGTGGTCAAACGTTTGCCGTAAATGGGGATTATAACAACAACACTCAAGCGACTAGGTCCTCTTAGTAACGGAAGCTTACAGTACAAGACTAGGAATGTTCCCCTATTAACAATAGGGAATATGTCTTTGTTGTTTACAAGGCCTCTCGAAGAGCGAGACTATGAAAATGCATGGCCGTGCTCAGATGGATTTTAGAAATCATCTGCTTATTGACAGTCAAACTCGGGAATCGAGAAACACTTCTAGACGTAATAAGGATGATGAAGAATCTTACCTTATAGTTCATGAAGAGACATTAAGCGACATAGGAAAAGGGCTATACACTAATTGCACACTTATTCGGAAGGACAAATGGGAGATTGAAAGGAATGGTGTCCTTCCAACAACTGTATTATTTCGATAGAGGGTTCGGATTATTAGAAAGCTAATTCTTCAGTGAGGTTGTGATCGGAATGCCTAGGTGGAGGCTGCTTCCGATCAGTAATATTAATGCATAATTAATATTACGGCTTAATCTTGACTGAACCCTTCGGGTCGCACCCCAATCGAATAACCGATCCGAATCGACGAATCAATCCGAAGGATTAGATGAATCATTTGAGTATTATGAACAAAGACGTCGGATATCGAGCTTAGAGCGTCGCAAGTCGAGTCGATTTAGAATTTGACGAGACGTGGAATCAAGCAAGCGACAAGTACGAGCCAAGCCGTAGCATCGCATTGGTCTAGCCATGTGAGTGCTGGGCTAGGCGAGGTGCCAAACCGCATGCTTGCTAGCGTGCCTAGCATTGCCTAGCACATGCACATCGCACAGCACAAGCATCGCAAGATGCTTGCCATGGGCATGTGTGTGTGGCTGGGCATGCATGGCTGGGGGTGCTTGCTAGCATAGCAGCACCAACCGCATCATCGCTAGCATCGCATCATGCTTTGGCATTGCACAGCACAACATCGCAAGCCATGCGTGCTTGCTAGCGAGCAGCACCAAGCACTCGCCACATCGCATAGCAGCACCTAGGAGCATCAGCTCGCATGCATGGCTTGCTAGCAGCACGCATGCGTGGGCTGGCTGGCTCGGCTGCCCAGCCTTGGTGCTAAGCGCTAGCTGGCAGCCAAGGCAAGCTGCCAGCCAGCCAAGTGGCGAGGTGGTGCGGGTTTGTGTGGGGACCAAAATTGAGGGTTTGGCTTAGGGAGCAAGGTGAGTTGGTCCCCCCTTTGGTGGTCCTCACCTACTCTCTCCCTCCATGTGACACTTGGAGTTTGTTGATTGCCTTGCATTTTTATTTGTTTTTTATTAAAATAGAGGAAAAATGAAAATCTCCCACATTGATGGGAGAAGGGAGATCAAGTCTCCATTCCCAATAAATACCCAAGTTTTGGGTTTGGGAAAAATCACCTGAGTTGAACTCAAAAAGGCATCTCCTTGAAAAGTGAGAAAACCTTTAAGTTCGTAATACTCTAGTTTTGTTTGGTCAAGTCCCGACTAACCTTCAGGATTAAGACCGTTCGGGTCGGGTCGAGGGAGTGAGTCGTAGGAGGCCGTCGCACTTGCGAGGCTCGAGCTTTGAAGTAAGAGCTCGTGAATCAAGCGAAGCACGCGTCAAGGGTAAGAATGTCTTTATTTTCTTTCTCTCTCTTATGTTGTTAATAATGTGATTGCATGTTTAGTTGCTTTGATTAATGAGCGGGTCGGGGGCGGGTTTCTCTTCCGCGCAGCGTTGGACACTACAAAACCCAACATTTTTACCTCGGCTGCGATGTCTTGGTTCTTATTCGCGGAGTAATTCCGTTTCTTTTGCTTAACTGGTCGACATGTGGGGTTAACTTTAAGCTTGTGAGAGATGAGGTTCGAGTCAATCCCGGGCATGTCTGTTGCCGAGATGGCGAACACATCTTTGTTGTCTCGAAGGAGTTAGATTAGTTCAACGCGGAAGCTCGGATCCAGTCCGAGCCCGATGCTGACACATTTTTCAGTATCCCCTTCGGCCAACTCTATTGATTCAGTCTGATGGTCCAGTTCCATAGTTTTGGCACCAAACTTTCCACAATCTGGCCTGTTGTCAATATCAGCAGGCATCCCAGACTTCTGCTGGTGCTTTGAGTCTTTCAGCTCAGACGATGAACCAGCTTTTTCATTCCCCAAAGATTTTACTTGTGCTGGGGTGCCTTGGGCCTAAGCACTTAAGCCCTTAGGCTTTTTTGCGCATCGGTCCTTTTCTCTTTCTTCCTCATCATCCTTGTCGCCGCGACGAATTTTGGTTGGATTGAGGTGGTTACATCTTCGGGCCTCCTTTTAGCTGCCCTGAATTCTTTCGGAGTGTCCCTCGTCCGAGACATATATCATCATCTGATGGTACGTCAAGACGACTCCTTGAATCTCGTGAATTATGGGTCTCCCCATAATTACATTGTACACAGACGGAACGTCCACGACCAGAAACTCGGCAATGATATTTCGGGCTGCTCGGCCTTTGCCGACGGTGACAGGAAGAGAATTTTTTCCATCAGGTTATGTTGAAGAACCGTTGAATCCAGATACCGACAAGGGTACTGGAGTCTGGTGCTTGGTCTCCAACTTCAGCTGGTCAAAGGCTCCCCGAAAGAGGATATTTGCACCACTACCACCATCGGCAAGTGTTCGCCAGACATTGTGGTTCGCGATGCCTGTAATAATTACCAGCGAGACATAATGGGGGTATGCCACCCCCGGCAGTCTTCGGCTGTGAACGTGATGTTCGGCACCGGAGATTGGGGTGCTCGGATGTCAGCATGATTCACTTGATGGTTCAAGCCCCTCAAGTGGCGTTTTAACGCATTCCGAGAGCAGGTTCCTCTAGAAATGACAAGGATATCAAGATTGTCTTTGCCTTGCGGCTTGTACTTTTTCTGGGGGAAATCCAGTTCCTGCCGAGAATCTTTTCCTGCTTTTTTCTCTTCGCGGCGGTCCGCGAGATATTTTTTTAAGTAACATTTTCGGACCATATCCTCAATCTGATCCCTCAGCTGGATACAATCCTCGGTGTGATGCCCAGGCAATTCATGAAACTCACACCATCGGTCCTTGTTTTTCTGCTTTTGCCACGATGGTAGTGGCCTCGGCCTTTTGTACTTCTGCTCATCCTTCGTTATGCTATAGATCTTAGCACGTAGAAGGGCAAGAGGAGTTTATGATTCATATCTCCCCAAGAATGGGGTTTTTTCTTTCTTCGGCTCAGTAGCCAAGGACGGTTCTGAGGCTTTCGCCTTCCCTTTCCTCTGGCCCTGGCCTTCGAACTGCTGTCCTTTTGCCTTCCTAGCTTCGGATTGGAATTGGGATTTGGTTTTGTTCCATTCTTCGGCTCGGATGAATTTGTCTGAGGCATCCAGAGCTTCCTCTATGGTCTGCGGTGGATGCATGACCATGAAGTCAAAGAACTTTTCAACTTGCAGGTCGTTCCGTAGTGCGAAGATGATTAGCCCTTGGTCCAGACTTGTGATTTTAGACGACTCATTACTGAAGCGAGTCAGATAGTCTAGGAGGCCCTCGTCCTCCCCTTGCTGTAGACACATCAGTTCTATAGTCGTTTTCTCTCGGCGATTTGCCGTAGAAAACTTGCTCTTGAATTTGTTGGAAAGATCATTCCAACCAGTTATTGAGCTTTCCATTACTCCTTTGGTGATCCACGTTTGTGCAACACCCTTAAGAGTGGTTGGGAAGTACTTGCACCACGTTGCCTCGGACCTTGGGTTAAGGTACATGTGCCCCTCATAAGAGGCAATGTGATCCTCCGGGTCCGAAGTTCCGTCATAAGTGACATGCACCGGGAGTTTCACCATTGGCACATTCTCCTCTAGAATCCAGCTTTGGAAGGGTGAGCTGGTAGGAACCATTACGACCTTTCCTTTGTGTCTAGCCGATGAGACCTCACTTTTCCCTCTCAGAGAGGTGGAAGTGGTTTTTGTCCCTGGCTGTGACGACTTGGGATAGGGCTCAGTTCCCTTTGGGTAGGGGAGGCGACTATGCACGCTCATCTCCCTTGAGCCAAGACGTTTGTGAATGTTTAGGTGAGCAGGCTCTTACCACGCGGAGGTGGTATTGTTGTTTTTGTAGCTCTGGGAGTTCCGGTTTTCGGAATTTTCAAAGAACTGAGGGTTCTTTTTCCTTTCTTGTTCTGTCCTCCAAGTGTCCTCCTCCCACTTATCCCCGAGCTCCTTGAAGGATGGAGCCCGTCCACTTTCCTCTTGGTCAGTCCTTCTTCTCAGGTTTCTTGGCGGAAGAGGGGAGTGATCACGGGTTGTTGGTGGAAAGTTGCCTCCTTGGGCCTTCATGAGGTCCATGAAGACCGCGACGACTCTCGCCACTTCTTCCGTAGAGGGCCCCGCTTGAGGAGTTGTTCTCGATTGAGACCGAGAATGGAGGCTTTGTGGAGGACTCTTCGCATTTGACTGACTTGACCGATATGAGCTACTCGGCTGGTGAGTATGATGGGACAGTGATTTCTCCAACGCTGCCTTTTCTGAGAAAGAGGGAGCTTTTGAAGAAGACGAAGAAGGCTCCGGTGATGGTGGAATAGGTGGATTCCTTCCCACCGTAATTGGACCTTTCCTCGAAGAGGAAGGATCGTTCTTCTTAGTACTCTTGGCACTTTTACCACTCTTAGTCATTTTTTAGCTAAGATTGGTTGATTTTGGCTTATTTTTTAATGTCTATCCCCACAGACGGCGCCAAATTGTTTCTATTTGAAAACAATAAGACCTTCGGATAAGCCCTTTTCTAGGGCTGAAGACTGAACTCGATCCAAGTTATGGTTGGGCCGAGGGTTTCCTGCACAGTGAACACACGTAAAACTGGCCTCGGGGGTTGTGCCAAGGAAGGCCCCTCCGATGCCGAAGTCAGTACAGTGTCAAAGAGAGAGAGAAAACTATGTAAGAGAATTTAATGCTTGAGGCTTAATGTGAATGAATGTAAGAAGAGACAATTGAAGGCTTTTATACTGCTTATCGGACGGATTGGGCCTTGAAGCTTGCCACGCTAACTGGGCCTGACTGACTTGGCTTACTTGAAGAGAGTTGAACCTTGCCTTTTAGGCTTTGTAATTAAAACATCTGGACCGGCCCAATTGAGGCTATTTGGACCCAAACAGTAATATTTACGAAATAGAGGAAACATTAAAATAAACATACTCGAGTCATTGTCAAAGATGAATCTTGTCCACTAATAAGGTGCCAACTATTGAAACAGGCTAAGGCTCTGTTCTTTTGAGATTTTGGGTAGAGTAGAGCATAGCAGGGCAGAGCAGAGCAAAGTAGGGCAGAGCAGAGCAGATTTCATTATTATTATTATTATTATTATTATTATTATTATTATTATTATTATTATTATTATTATTATTATTATTATTATTATTATTATTATTATTATTATTATTTTTATCGCGTTATTATTATTATTATTATTGTTGTTGTTATCGTGTTATTATTATTATTATTATTATTATTATTATTATTATCATTCAAAAAAGACAAAGTCATACAACCTACAAAAAATTAATGGGAAGCCGAGATACAATCTGGGCCTCCACTCCTCTAGCTATAACAAACCTTATTCTAGTGAAGATATGAGTAGCAGCACGTGCCCCAATGTCTTGAGTATTCGAGAACTTCTGGATCCGATTCAGCAATATTATTATTATTATTATTATTATTATTATTATTATTTGATTTTTTTAAAGATTTTTTTTACTCTTTTTATAACATTAGAAATGTGTTAAATAATATAAAATATTAATTATTATCATTAAATATTAGTTATTATTAACAATTAATATTATATATTAATTATTATTATTATTATTAAATATTAATTATTAATAATTATTTTTATTAAATATTAATTATTATTTTTAAACAGAGCAGAGCATATTAGGGCAGGACAAAATAGAGCAGAACCGCTAAAAAAAAACAGCGTCTAAGCTGATTTTATTGCCTGGCTAACAAAATTCGTTGACTTAGTAAATGTTCTTCTCCAACAACACTTAAACTGTTTATATTCCACGTCTTCTCCTTAATTAGTTTTCCCTTATTTCTTTCTTTCTTTCAAGTCCCCAATATTTTCTTTCCACTTCATAAATACAAACTCAAAATAAATCCATATAATTTGAACCTACCATGCCTACATTAAATAAAGTTTGTTCTTGTTTTATTTGGGTTGAATAATACTCCGTAAAAAAATATTATAAAGAAGAAGACTATATCAATATTTAGGAAAGACCCTCGAATATTCAAAACGTAAAGTTTTCTCATTTTTGCTGCTTCTCTTCTGCTTCCTTTTCTTCACCCCTTTGTTTTTGTAGTATTAGTATTAGATTTTGGGGGAGCATTACTCTTGTATTATTATTGGAAAATAATTACACGAACTCGATCTTGGAGTTAATCTGTTTCTTTCGCCGTATCTTTGAAGAAACAAAGATGGGAAATTGCTTATGGGGATCTAAAGAAGAAGTTAGCAATCCCATTATTAATAATCCTCGAGGTAAGTATATATAATATACATATATACTTTGATTATTTATATCGTCGTTTTTTATCGTTTCGATTTTTTGAAACTTGAAGTGTCAGAAAGATGGATATTTTTTTTTTCTTTTCAGATGATCAATTACACATGCTACAAGATTTTAGTGCCCAAAAAGAAGAAGAAGAAAAAAAAAAAAAAAATGATTTATAACATGTTTGATAAATTGACATAAGTGGTAGTTTAATCCTTAGTTTTTAAAACAAAAAAAGGAATTTAAACCAAATTATCAATGATTTATGTACCTTTTGAGCTTTGATTATGTAAATATATGAATATTAAAATGTTGTACATATGTTCATAAAATCATAAAGTATGGGCTTTGTCAAAAATGGTGGCTTACCTTCTCCAATGATTGGAATTCACTACTTTTTTTTATGGTTTGGTTTGCCTTGAAGTTTTTGTGGACGTTAGTATTTTGAAATGAGATATTTTGTAGGTGGAAGCTATAATGTTTTTCCTATGCTCATACATGTTAAGTTTTTATAATTTTCTTACATTTGTTGATTATTATTATAATTATGCAATTTTGTTTCACAAGTCAATTATTCTTCATCATAGTGAGTGTTTTAGGTGATAAAAAAAACTTAAGAGAACTTTTTTATTTGATGAGTGTTCTTCAAATTTAAGTTTAAATCTATATAGAAACATTTTAAACTAAACTATCCATATAGACGTACTTTATCAGGTAAAATAATCGTATACATAGTTTTAACGTTCTCTAAATACTTACATGAATTTTAATTTGTATATGTGATTATGTAGAGTTCAACAAATTTAACCATCCAAGAATGGTGCGTAACAACATTGGTGGTGTTGGAGGTGGAGCAAGAATACATAGACCAGTGGTAGGACAAATTATAAAACCAGACTTGAAAATATACACATTTACGGAATTAAAAAGCGCAACAAGGAACTTTAGACCGGATTCCGTGTTAGGTGAAGGAGGGTTTGGGAGGGTGTACAAAGGATGGATTGATAAAACAACATTGGCACCTTCTAAAGTTGGTGTTGGTATTCCTGTTGCAGTCAAGAAATGCAATGCTGATAGTGCCCAAGGTCTCAAAGAATGGAAAGTAAGTTTTCTTTTCTTATTTTTGTCCTTTTTAAAAGTGTGAAACTAATATACGAATAACAATCACCCTGCCAACCTATATTTTAATATACGAATAACGAAGTAGCCAGTTGCACTACAGTGTGAAACTAATGAATTTGTCAATTCGAAGTTGTCAACAATTCTTTCATGCGTTGAATACTTCAACAATATTTGCTTCTCTTACCTACAACACAAGATTCTTTAGTTGCCAAAAAAAAAAAAAAAAATATTTAGCCAGAAGAAGATATAGTATGTTCAAATCTAATTTGATTTGATTTAATTAGTCTAAGTGTTCTAAAATAACACCTATTTGCTTAAGTAAGGCGAATTAAATTCACCTTCAGATTGATCAATTTTATTTACTTGTAATTGTTTCAAATTTAGTTAATTAAAATTGATTCCTTATTGAGTTCAAGAAAGAAATGTCGAATCCTTTCATTAAAACAAAGGAATTATGATTGAACAATGAACATAATTTATTTATTTATTTATATTGCCATCCCACTCTTCACTTGCAATTGTTAGCCTTATTACTAATTTAGGTTTAACAAGACTATAAAATAATATTCCGTACTAAGAGTAGAAAGGAATGAAGTTAGTTTGAAATTTCAGCAAAAATTAAAGCATTTACTCACATATATGCTTGAAAATGTAGCTAATTGGACTGACTTTCCTCTCATATAGTCCTTCACTCCCTCATACTAGTCAAAATGTCGTTCTCTACGGTGCTAGTGGATGTGGTAAACTCTATTTTAGTGGACTTACAATTATTATTTCATTTTATGAATGAGAAAGTCAAAAGGCCAACTAATATTAATTTGATAAGAGCTACTACTACTATTAGTAGTAGTGTTAGTTTCACACATAATAACACTAGTTTTCCAGTTAATACACTGCACATTTCTAGCATTGCTTTCGGGATAAGTTGTCCAACATTCAATGTGAATAATCGTATATGGTGGATATTACAAGTACTAATATAGAAGTTAGAGATTAGAGATTGGAGATTTGGAGCAATGACCCCATTGGCCCATTCTACTTCTAGGCAAGAGACCTCGGTTCGAACCCTCGTGGCCTTTGTCTACGGAAAACTTATACTAGTATTAATACTTTGTATTAGATTGGATCTTTGTATACTCGATCGTATGTCTTAGAGATTTAATATAGGGGGAAATTCTAATATGGTGTAGTCATTCTGCCATACATAGATGAGCTAAGTCACAA